TTTCCCATGTCTCTCCTGACACCCTCCCCCACCAAATCCTATTCTCCTCCCAAGAAAAATGAAAAAAGGCCGACAATTAACTTAATGGAACTCCCTGGCAAAGAAAAACAAAGAGACAGTAGAAAAGGCATTAAAATATTGATATCTGTGAATGAAAATACCCCAAATTTAAATAAATTTTATGCCTTTTTTTGTCAAGAATAAGAAAAATTCTGGAAAAATTCTGTAAAACTTCTGTTTGCTTAAGGCCACTCAATTGTCTCATTAAATTTATAAACAAGTTTAATTAAAAGAACCAAAGCATTTGTGAAATAGAAGTATGTGTTTGAACCATTTAAACCTCCAACATTTGTTCAGGGAATGAATACCGGCTTTAGAAATAAAGAGAATCTCTGTGGCGTGTCTCCTCTCCATGGGTGCAAGTGAGACAAATGAAAAACTCGATGTTTCTTACAGAAAGCATGCTAGTTTAGCTCCAAAGAGATACAAATGCAGACTTCTGTATTGCAATATATATGGTTTTTATGGTGAAAGGAGAGCTGAACACTTGTGGCCTGCTGATGTAGTTCTCAGTGTTTGCACTGGAGGTCTCACTGGCATTTAATGAGCGTGGCCCTCTTGGCTGTCAGGCTTCTGTGCCTGGGCTGTAACCAGCTCAGCCTCTCCTTCTGCCTACTGGAATTCTTCAGGAAGAAACAGCAGTTAATGTGGAATGTACCCAGAGTCAAGGGATAAGTCCCACCTCTTGAGCATCCCAGGAAGATTTGTGGTTATGTATGCAATGGTGAGGAGCAGATTCAGGATGGAACTTGGTGAGAGATTTCTTGTGACTTTCCCACATGTGATGTAGGATTTGCCATTCACTGGTTTTGGTTTTTTTTGGGTAGTGCTGCTTCCATTATTCTGTATGGTTACTTGCAAAGTGTCCTTTTGGACACAAAATACTGAATTGCTCTGGGTAGTGTGACTAACCACACACGAAGTATGTGGGCCTTAGCTTCTCCAGAATAGGCATCAAACTTAGTGGAGAACTTAGAGGTAGACTGTGTTTCTGCATGATCTGTAGTGTGACCACCTCTGCTTAGTGCACTCCATGCACTTGGTTCTCTGGTAGAGGAGCCCCATGGCAAAACACAATGTGCCCTGGGGCATTTTTATGTTTTAGAAGTTCTTGATGTTTCTCAAAATCTAAGTTGCAGTGGCACAGTCATAAATCTGAAAAACAGAGATGCTTCTTGATATTTTTGCTTCCACACTACCTTATTTAAGTGGATATTGTGAAATAAGTCTGTGTACAGACTCTGAGGTGCATCAGGGCTGCTGAAGTGAGGAGCATGGGTAATTTACGTGTCATTTTGGAAGCCTGTATTTGACCGGTTTGAAGGAGCAAAGGCATGGGTTGAATGCTAGTTAAAAATGGGGGGAAAAAAACAAAACAAAAAATTCCCCATCAAACTACAAAATAGCTAGTTTCTCTACAGGTATTTTTCTACAAGTACAAGCTTTTGTTAAGGGGAGAAAAACAAAAGCTCCTCCCTAGCAGAGATTTGGTGTCCTGCCCATCTACTTCTGCTTTCTGTGGTCTTGAGCATCCTGTTGGCCTGGCAGCAGCTGCCCTGCAGTGAAGTGGGTTGTTGCTTCCTCTGGAGGGAAATGTCTGTCAGGCTAATAAAGCAATACCTGTTCCCAGTCCCTCTGAGATGCTGCAGAATATCTTCCCTTCAGAGCAGTGAGTCACAAGATAGGTCTTGCCCTGTTGTAAGGTTACCCATTTCTATTCCCACTAAATTTAAATTAATGCCCGGAAACTTAGTTGAATGCAACTGACTGATGAACTTCATACTTGAATGAATCCAGACCGATTGACAAAATGAGTTTGGGGCACCTGTTCTGAGATAGCTGAAAAGCTTTGATCATTCCTTCCCAGTTTTCTTCAAATTTCTAAGTGTTGTGGATGTACAAGGACTTTGTTATTTACATCTAAAGACTTGTAATGTGGCTTGAGTTTTCCATGTATTAATGTAAATAAAAATTTTAATAAGGTATTAATAGACATATATTTAATTAATTTAGAGTCTACTTATTATCTGATCCTTTAGGTGCTCTGTGCCTCTTTTAATACCACCCATGTCCATTTATTTCAAGAAGAGCTGTATGATATTGGCATGAGGTCATTGTATTGTGTTTTTAATGGCATGAATTTTCTTCGCATGTCTCATCAAATTATTTTGTTCTCTTTAGAATCTTCCCTTATTCCAAGAAACTCTGGTGGATAATACTCTACCACTGACTTAAAAATTTGTGTTTGTTCCTGGGTGAGAGAAACACAGATGAGATAAGAATTTTCCATGTCATTACCTATTAGAGCTTTTCCTTTGGGCATGGATAGCTGTTTGCTTTTGGGTTTGGGAGGGCTGAAGTGCCATGAGGCCTGGGTGTCAAAAGCCAAGTCAAAAACAATCAAAAAAGACTGGCTTACATCTCTTTCCTGTGAAGTAGCAAATTCCTTTCTGATTTTTCAGAAACATTTCCTTAAAAATGTCTCCAAGCATTACCAAGGATTAAGTCAGAAAGGTAATTTTAGTTTATTTGAAGCTGCACAAAGATAGAAAAAAAGGAAATGCTACAAAGAAGACAAACTTGAGGGCTTTTTTTTTCATTCTTTGCTCTTTGCCAAGCTGAGTACAAAAAAAAATCAATTTTAATTTTGAACCTAAGTTTTTGAAATCAAGTCAAATAAAATTTCTTTCAGTTTCAAATCCAGTAAACACAAACTCATCTGAAGCCTGAGTCAGAGCAAGTGCCATACTCTGTAGAAGAGTTTAAAACTCAGTCTTGACACTGAAATGTCATTTCAGTTGTTCCTTAAAAACAAAAAAATTAGTAATTCCCTAAAGAGATCCTTAGATAAAGAAGATAAAATATCCAAAAACTGCCCCAGGAGATGGATTTAAATTATCTCAAACAATTCTAAGGTTCTGAGCTCTGGATAAAGACAGAAATGACTCCATTCTTCACAAGGTGCTCTGTTTAATATAATACAGCCCATGAGGTTAGGACACATTGCTACCACTCACATGATGCTCGCTGGACAACATTTGACAGACCTTATCCAAGGTGGTGTGGTTCCTGGGACATTCCTGCTGAGAGCTCCCAAGTTCCCAGGAGGGCTTCTGCTCATTGCAAGGGAGCAGCAGCACTGGAGGCCACAACGGTGCCTGGGTCCTTTCTGGTTTTTCTTGACTTGGCAACTGCTGTTTGCACAGCAGTTAATTTACAGTAAATGAAATTTCGAAGTGCACATTTCTTGTTCCCCCCCTTCTGCTATGTAAAGGGCTAGAGTAAGAGGAAATGATTGATTAGAGGAGGGACCCTCCAGAAGAGGGGAAAAGCATGAAAATTCTCTCCACTGTTCCCAGACAAGGTAATGTTCATACAAGAACATGTGGGACAGCAAGAACGCTGTTCCTCTCACCATCTTTTGTTCCCTCCACCCCCTTTCACAAGCCCAGGGGAAGGACAAGGGCTTGTAGCTGCTCCATGGCAGTAACTGAGTGCCTCGCAGTGATGTTCTCTGCTTTGTTCTAGAGCTTTTGCAGGGAAAAGTTAAGAGTTGTACTGTTCTGCTAATTTTATACTCTGTGTCCCTGTATACCTTCTGTTTCTGAAACTCGCTGTTTTGGTGCTGCAGCAAGGCGATGTCTTGGATGGTGTGAGTGTACTTTGTAGCACTGGGGATTTTACAATCGGATGTGTGCTCAGGCTGAGGAAATGGAGAAGGTGGATACGAAGAAAGTGTCCTGGGTTGATGTTGGCACTGTGGTGTGAGAAGGGACAGGTGGGGAAGAGTGCAGCACAGCCTTCTCGGCTGGACGTGCCCTGAGCTTGGACATCGCTGGCTGGGGCAGCAGGTTCGGCTGGGTTCGATTGCCGCTCCCGCCCTCCCAGCTCTGCGGGTGTGACGAGCTCTGCGCGTCCGAGCGTTTCGGGCTTTGCCGGGGCACCTGGACACTTGTCCCGGTGCGGCAGCCCGGTGTCGGGGAGGGGGCACGGGGGGCTGAGCCCCGAGCGGGGCCGGGCCGGGCTGACCCCGCGGCAGAGGGGGAGCCGGCCGGGCTGGGGGGAAGGGGTCGGGAGGCGCTGAGCGGCGTGTCCCCCCCGGGGATGGGATTGCGGGCTGCGGAGGGGCCAGCGAGAGACTCCGAGACCACCGAGTGCGAGGGGCAGCGGCGCAGGAAGCCCAGCGGGGGCTCTGCCTCCCCTGCCGGGTCCCGGCGGGCCGGTGCCGGGGCTGCCCCGCCGCCGGATGCCCAGAACCCCTCGCCCCGCACCGACCGGGCTGCAGGAGGAGGAGGAGAGGAGGAGGAGGAGGAAGAGTAGGAGGAGACCGGGCGCTTTCACTCCTGCTGACTGCTGAGGCAAAAGGCAGAAAAAGGAGGAGGGGAATAAAAAGTAAAGAGGGGGGAGAGAGAGTGAAAGAAAACTAAGCCCAGCTTTTGCCGGTGCTGCTTGGATTGGATCTGGTTTGAGTTTCCTCTCTGCTGGCTTGAGCAGCAAGAGAAGGAGGAGTGGGGGGAAGTCGCTCACTCTTCCTCTGAAGCTGTAGCAAACGTGCTGGTTGGTGCCTGTGCTGCCGGGGAGCTGCCCGGGTGCAGTTCCTTCGCAGCATATTGCTCTCACTGCCTGGACTTCTCGAGGACCTGGAGGAAAAAGACATCACAGACCTGACAGTTGCTCACTGCCTATAGACTTGTCACATTTTTTTTTGTTTTTTGTTTGTTTTTTTTTTTCCTAGGGGAATCTTTTTTTAAAGTATTTTTCTCCCGTGTCTCAGAGCAGCAGTTCCTTGAGTGGCTTTGAAGTCCATTGCTTCCTTATCAACTTCGGGAGATATTTAGAAAAACTTTTACCCCCTCTCTTCTGTTCTCATAGCCAAAAAAAAAAAAAAACAAACAACAAAAAAGGACAAAAAAAAGATAATCCTTTTTGGGGGAGGGGAGATGATCGTGCTGATGTGGAATAAGTGCTCCTGCTGTCTCCTCTTACTAGCCGCGGTCCTGATCGTGGAGAGCTCCCAGCTAGACAGCTCCAGCTCCAAGGTGAACTCCATCAAGTCCACCCTGATGGGGGAGGCTCCAACTCAGGCAACCAACAGATCTGCAGGCATCCACCAGGGACTGATGCTTGCTAGCAGTAAGAAGGGCAAAATGCTAGAGCAGATGGGAAAACCTCCCAAGCACTATCACCGGCAAGGAGAGGTAGGACATGGCTTCATTGCTTGAGTGTCTGTCCGTGTGCTGTATGTAAATAATTGCTGGTCTTCCCCTTCATATTATTTTCAGAGCTTTAATATCCTAAATTAATTAATTTACTTCATTGGGCTTGCCTGGGACAATATAATGTCATAATAGATGTTAAGAACTGTGCAAGTGGGAGGTTTAAACCATTGATTTTTCTCTGTAGGGTTAATAACTGGTGGAAGAAAGAGCAATCTAAAAAACTATCATCTTTTCTTTTTTTTGACTCCTTCAAAAGGCTGCCAGAAGCAAAGGAAGAAATTTCTTGGTAACTGTCAAGACAGTAAATGAGTTGAATTTGAATAGGCGAGGAAAATTTGAACGTGAAGTAAAAAATTCACAGCAGTGTAACAAACTTGGTTTTAGAAATCACACCTGGCAAGTTGATCTCTGGTATCTTTATCCTTAGTGAGAATAAAAAAGCATGCTATCCCTGTGGTATACTTTAAGGTACAGTCCTTTGTTTAATAAGACAGAAAACTAGTTCTATGTTCCTTGTCCAGAATGTGCTCCAATGATTGTGGAAGTTTTGTTTGGTTATGAGAGTTGGAATGTAAAGAAGATAGAAAAGGTTATAGAAAAAGAAAAAGAAGGTTAAGGGGAAAAAACCCCAACACTCTAACTTGCTTGTGCAGTCTTCTTTCCTCCTTACCCTATCTGGAAACTTGCAAGTCTGGTAGAAAATAATCTTCATTCAACTGTCTTTGCACTAAACTATAAAGCATCATTTTAAATCATCAGTCCTGTTCTTCCCTCTCAAGTCTTAGCTTGGATGGTACGAATGTTCGTGTTGTGATGTTGAAAGAGGTCGACTTCTTCAGAAAATGTAGATTTTATTGGGTATTATTAGTATCTCTAAATACAGCTGCTTTTCATAAGCAACATTGTAGCAGCAAGAGAGTGTGCCAACATTCAGAACTAAAAAGGCAAAATACTCAATGCCTGAAGGGTCTGTACTTGCTTAAACTTTCCTTATAGCAGCAGAGAAGCTGAAAATTCAAGTAATCCACTGAATTTGCTAAAGTGTTTCACATCAGCTTCCTAATAATTGAATGTTATAATTTGGTTTTGTGTGCAAGCATAGTAACAGTAGTGGTAGTTTTGGTTTTTGTGTCTGAGAAATTTCCAAGCTTTCTTTCCCTAGCCACTCAATTGTTTTATAATTTGCGCAGAATTTGGTTGCCTCTCCTTACCTCTAAGCAAAGTTTAGCAAGAGATGCTGTGATGAAGTTTCATATTACTAAAGTACTGTGCTCTTCTCTAGTTCACATTTTACTAATTACAATTACATTGCTATGTTGAATCACCTTCAGGAGATAGAGGTGCCCAATGCATCTTCTTATACGTTCTCCTTGGATTTTCTTTTGTTTTCAACGTATTCACAAAATGTCCAAATACAGGTCCTGTTTTCCACCTGAGTGTCAGCAGTCTCATGAGTTTTGTGAGTCTCTGCTGCCCAGCTTTTGCCTATGGAGAAGTCTTGCCACCTTCCCCCATGTACAGCATCCTCAGCACTTCACTGTGTATTCAGCGCAATGTTGAAAATATTTGATTGTAACTCACCCAGTTCCTGAAAAACAATTTGTGCTACCCCCTGGTTGTATTTGCAAGATTTGCCCCTAACTTGCCAGCCTGGACTGGGATTTCTGGGTGCTTCTAGTTACTGGCATGAACTCACAAGGCACACTTCAAGGGAGAAACAGCTCTGTAAGTATCTGTAGTGGTAGAGGAGATGTCATGCCTATTAAGATTTCATGTTTGTAGCATAAGCAAAGACCCCCAGAGAACTGGTGGCTGTGACTCCCAGGGAGTGAAGGCTGACCTCCCATCAAGGGCTGTCAGCACTGAATTTACCCTGAGATTCTGTCCCCAGATCCGGCATGGCCTCACACAGATGCATGTGAAAATGACACAGATTTGCTCCCTATAATTCTAGATGCTACTTTTGGCCATCTGCCTGAAGCAACACAGTTAATGCAGAATTGCAATGGAAAGAAGAAAAAAAGGGAAAAGACAAGGAAAAGAAAATGAAAGAGAGGAAAGAAAAAAAGGAAAAGAAAAAAGTAAAGAAAAGAAAAAATAAAAAAGAGAAGAAAAGAGAAAAAGAGTATCTTTTCTGAAAAGGTTTTCTCTTTGGTGATACTTCCAGCTGTAGGGCTGGTAAGCCGCTGCATTTTTTAACAGCGGGGTCACGCATATCAACCAATTAAGACATGATATTTTCATAATCTTTTTTGAAGTACTCTCATATTAGGTTAGTATTTAATTTGTTTAGATTATGGGACTTTGCACTGAAGTTTACCATGCCACTTGCAAAAGAGCAGGCCTATGCATTTCTTTCTGAAACAATCTGTTTAATTAGTGGAATTTGTAATGTCTCAAAAGTAAGAGTATCTTTTATATCTTGGCAACATTAGATGGTGAGTTGAGAGTCTTGTTTACATCTAGGAAATAGTTTTATTAAGGACCAAGGATATGCATGTTAAGGATAAATTAATAGAATTTTGCTGTTGTAAAATCTCTGAGCTGTGCTTTCAGGTCTGGATTTACATGTGGTGGAAATCACCAAAACTGATGAAAGGATCATCAACCTACAACCTATTTCCTTTTCAATTATGTTAATTCTCAGGACTTAGGAGCAACTTGGGAGTGTTTAATCAGTGATAAATCAACCAATACAATAGCTGATGGCTTATCTGGAGTGTTGATGTTTTTCAGCTGGTAGTTACAGTGCTTCTGCCCAGAAAGGGAAGATCCAGTGCTCTTTTGTCAGGCAAAGTTCCAGTTTAAATTAATGAAAATACTCACATGAGCAAAGCAAGTTGATCCAGCTTGCAGAGAGACTGGCGGGGCAAATGTGGATTTTAGTAAGACTTAACATTTTTATGTCTTTCTGAGGAATATTATTTATTTTCTGGTCTTATTCCCTTTACTGCCTTGGATCAGCAGGGAATGAGAAGCACTGATGTGCTAAATCAGTGAGATTTCATTCTCTTCACTGTTCTTTACTGTCACTGCTGCTTTTCCTTTTCTACAAGCTGTTAATGTTTCCCCAATTTCACAGAGAATCAGAAAGCGTCCACAGCATTTGCACAAGGGAAATTTTTGCTCAAAGCCAGTATTGTACAGTGCATGCTAATCTAGGTTACTTTGGGGGGGTCGGGATTATATCCTGTCAGCTATTTTTTTCCTTTCAAAACTTGATTTAGAGAAATGCTTCTAGGGATATCCAACACCTCAGTTCCATGACCTGTCTGTGAAAGTGTTCTGGACATATCCCCTCCCTAGGAAAATATGATACAGTGAACAGAGTCATAATTGACAGTGAAGATAGATTAATTTTTCTGTGTGTTAGCTATAGCTTCCACTGTGTTTGGGCAAGGTCTCCCACGTGAGTGATCTAGCTCAGCTATAGAGATGCAACCTGAAAGGAAAAATAGAACATACTGTACGATGATGCTTGAAAGGCATAGCCATTCCACAGATTCCTGGTTGATGACTTTGTAGCCTCTTTAATTTGCTTCACCATCTTTTAGACTTCTTGCCTCTGGGTTTTAGTCCCCTCTCTCCTCTGAGACGTGTGCCCTCTGTCAATGCTGGGGTTTTCGTGCCTTCACACTCAATTGTCTTTAATGATCTGGCAGGTTGTGACCTACCAAGCTTTATTTCAAGCTATTGTCTCTCCTTAATCTATGGGTGCTATTATCTTCTTCCCTTCCCACCTCCTGGCCACAAGCTGTCGCTTCAGTTCATTCCCCAGCTAGATGTGTCTCTCATTCCCTTTGTCCCTTTGCTGCTGCATATCTGTTTGGGTTTGTGCTTCCCCTTGAGACTTTCCCTTCCCCACGAACATGATGGGAGCAGTAGCAATGAGGGGAAGAACTGGGACATCCAGTGGAGGGAACTGACACATCTGTGGGGCTAAGGGATAATGAGGTCTGGAACAGGGAGAGAGGAGTGAAAAGCTGGGACAAGTTTTAGTGCTGCCGAGGCATCACAGACAGCTATCAGATAAGCCTTAGTATTCCAAATGCACTCGATTTAATGCTAAGATATGTTTATTTTTTTTAAATTCTATTGCAGCTTGAGCTAAGATGTTTGAGACCACAGAAGCCAAACCAAAGAGGCATTTATTCAAATTACTAATTTGATACTGATCTCATACCTATTAACGCATGGACATACATGTGTTTCTTGGACAGGACATAGCTACCCACAAGGACTTGCTAGAAAATGTTTGGATGATGCTTTGTAGTGAGTAAAACAGCATGAGATGTAGTAATTGAATGCAGTGCCCTGACAATGTTACAATAAAATGTACCAAAGACACCAAAAATGTAACCACAATATCTTAAATAGCTAGCAACCAAGACAGTAAAAATTATTTCTTCATGGGATTAAAAATAAATTAATTAAAATAGCTAGAAATTACATCCAGCAATAGCTGCCTTTAATTTTTTTATTTAATTAAAAAAATTGAGAATTGCTAAATCTGCAGAGGCCACCAGAGGATTAATTCTTTGCTCTTGCTGTTTGGTGTTAGAAATCTGGGTGATATACTGCTTTACTGGCAGCAGTCTTGCTAAATAACCTACTGGCTTCCCTCTTAACTGCAAAAAATGGGGTGCAGAGTATTATCTCCTTCCTGGGTCATGCTTGGTGTCTCCTTCAAATTGCTATTATTAACTGATGTAATAATATAGAGCAAAAGCTCCTATAAAGTAGCTTTACTACCAGTATTTCCTATTAGCTTTGCAACAATGCCTAGAAAATTTCTAGGACTCTGATGTGCGGCTGGGTGTGCAAGTACTTAGGAAGAGTCAGTTTCTGTATGGAAAGTCTGTCAGTGCTTAATGACAACACAGATGATGATGAAGCATGATTACATTTTCCCCTCAGAAAAGTGAGTATG